TGTAGCACCAACATCTCCTTGAGAGCTGGGGAGGGGGTGGCCATTGTCCAGAGGGATTCCACCCCTCTCTGTCTCTAGGCTCCCTGTCCACACGATTCAGGTCTCGAGTGTCCTTCCCTTGCGCTGGGGGACTGAGACAGATGAGGGGTCCTCCAGCGTTCTGCCCACCTTTCTGCCCAGCAGTCCCCCTGCCTGAGCTGGCGGAGGGGGTCTCTGACCAGGGATGCTGTGCGTTTCCAGTCTCTGGTCGATGCATGTAGCATTGGAGCACTAAGCATTTGATATCATTCATCTTGCTCATCATGTGTGTTAAAAAGAGAGCATATTTTCCAGCTCCCTGCCAGCTCCCATGTTCAGCTTTGGAAGGAAGCCACGGCATCCGTGGGGCCGCTGGGAGGACTTCTGGGCAGAGGTTGGGGCCCTGGCAGTGAAGGACAGGATGGTCCCCAAAGGCCTGTCCACGTTTTGAAGTTTGAGGGCTGTTCACGTCAGAGTCTCAAATTATGAGGGAGCGCTGAAAAGTTGTCGGGCCAACCCACTTTTGTTTTGTTTTCGTTTGTTTGTTTTTATGCAGTTTTATTTTCATTTCATTTCATTTATTTATTATTTTATCATTCAGCTTGTATTCTGCATTATAAGCTGAGAGCTCTCCAAGTGGATTACAAGAGAATAAAAATACAATATAACAATTTTAAAAGCAAATAAAACAGCTAATAATACGTAATAAATAATATACAAGAACTATTTTGTTTGTTCTGGGTTTTTTTTTTTTGTTTGTTTTGGTTCTGTTTTCTTGGTCAGGCGGGCAACCTTCAGCCCCCCTCGTGCTGACCTGTGTATCGTGCACGGTGTGTGAGGGAGGAGGGGGAAAGGATGGCCTTTCCTTCGCCTGCCTGAACCTGGACCATCTCACCGGCTCCTCGCCCTCAGCTCCCAGCAGCGGATGGATCCCCTCTGACCTCCGCCCAGCCGGCTGCATCTCCCCTCCCAGTCCGTCCGGTCGAGCTCCACCGAGGCTCCAGATCAGCTGGGGGAGATCTCGCACGCTGTGCTTGTGCTGCGTCGCACAGGTGTGAGTGTGAGAGCTCAGCAGATCCGCAGCCGAGCAAGGGGAACGACTCTGGCGTGTGACACCCCCCCCCCCGCCCTGCCCTCCCACAGCCTGTGGACCGCACTGGATGAAGCTCCAAGACACGTGTCCCTTCCACGCTTATTCAGAAGAAATGCAGATTCTGTGCCGAGAAGCGCTGCTCTGGCAGCCCATGACTGTGTTGCTGGGATGGGAACAGCAGGGCCAAGCATGGCCCGGTCTTGCTTTCTGGCCATGTTAATTCTCTTAATTTCCCTAATGGAGGGGGAAGTATAAGAGGAGCCCTAACAGATCAGCGCATGGGTTGAACTAGCTTACTATCCTGTCTCCAACAGTGGACAGCAGATGCCTCCTGTACAGGCTGGGTGGGCAGTCGCAACCCCCATTCTGTCCCCACCACAACTCTAAGAATAGAAAGCTCAAATTAGCTATCACAGCTAATAGATGCCGGTAAATCTGCCCTCCGTACACATGGCCCTTCCTCTTCGAAAGCCGGCCAAACTAACAGCCAGCAAATTGGCAGCAAATTCTCCATATGGTGTGAAATACTGTTTTCTCCATTCTTAATTTACTAGCCATCAATTTTGCTGGGTGATCCAGAGTTCCAGTATTAGGAGAAAGGGGGAAAAGTTGTTCCCCATCCATTTTACTACACTGTGGACAATTTTACACACATTCCTCCAATTTTCCCAAGCCACCTGTCTTCAAAACCAAAAAGCCTTTTTAGCTTTCCCAAATAGTGAAGGAGCTCCAAGCCTCTGATCCTGTTCAGTGGCCCTTTCCCCAGCTTTAGGATATGCTCTCTTCCAGGTGTAAGTGCAGGTGAAGCCTCTGGGATCTGTTCATTGAGATGCGACAAGGGCCCATCAAAAGTTCCCCACAGCTTTCCAAAGCTTCCCAGAAACTGAAGGGCCAAATGCTAAAACCAGTCCCCTGAGGGATGCGTAGAGGCCCCCTTAATTGAAAAGCAATTAAGAGCTTAAACAGCTATAGAGAAACTGCAACCTTAAACTCTGGTGGCAGGCCACAGTCATGGTTGGCTCACCCATCCCTTACAAAAAAAAAGAGTCGCTGGCCAAAAAAACAGAAAACAGGTCAGTGTTGGTCATGGCTGCTTTGATGCTTAATTCGTCTATTTCTCTGACTGAAACTTCCCACACGGAGGACATGCATGATATTTCCGTGCTCTGTAAGTTCCCTGATGTCAGATCAACCTATCTCCCCATGAGAAGGCTCTCACAATCTCCACGTGCCAATGGGTATTCTGAGATACGGTTCTCTGGTGACCATCAAGTGCTCTCTCTGTCAGAAACATTTCCCACACCGAGAACATTCAATATGGTTTCTCTCCAGTATGATGTTTTCTCAAATGTTCTCCACAACTAAAGCTTTTCTGACAATCTGGACATTCATAAGGTTTCTCTCCAGTATGACGTTTTCTCAAATGTTCTCCACAACTAAAGCTTTTCTGACAATCTAGACATTCATAAGGTTTCTCTCCGGTATGAATTCTCTGACGGTTCTTCAAATGGTCTCTGTTAATGAAGCATTTCCCACATTGAGAATGTATGTGTGGTTTCTCTCCAGTACGAATTCTTTCAGGTTACGTCAAATGAATTCTTTGGCTGAAGCATTTTCCACACTGAGGACATCTGTATGGTTTTACTCTGGTATGAATTCGCTGATGTTTTAAATGTTTCCATCAATGTGAAACTTTTTTCACAGGAAGAACTCTGATAGGGTCTCCCTTCAGAATGGATTCCTTGATTTTTCTTTAAAACTGATATGTCATTAAAGCTTCTTCCACACTCATGATTCTCAGGCATTTTCTTTCTGGCACGATTACTTTCCAGGTTACTCTGACAGCCAGTCAAATTACTTCCCTTCTTGCACTTGGAGGTTTTAATTTCTTTCTCTCCCATTCCGAGTCCCTGATATTTATCAAAGCTTGGCTTATGTTGGAAATCTTTCAACAACATGAAGCATTCAGAGTGCTCCTCTGCAGTACATGTGCAATATTTTCTGATTTGTGGCTGTACTTCCTCTCCTACTTGGAAAACAAGGGTAATTTTCTTCTTTTGCTGATGGTGAAAGTTTGCCTGATTGTACTTGTGAGAACTTTGGAAACCTCACTGCATTAATTCCCTTCCACTGGCATCTTCTCTTGTTCCCCTTTGGATTCACATCTCTGTCCATGAATTTCAGCTTTGACATGAAAGTTTCCCCTTTGGATATTTCTGGTAAGATGATGTGCATTTCCTCAGGACCCATCTCTCCCTCCTGAACCTTTTCTGTCTTAATCAGACTTCTCTTCTCGTCACCTGAAGAAACACAGAGATAATTTTTCCCACGCTCTGGTCCCCAAGAATCCTGCCACCTCCTTTTCCTTTCCCACCCACTCTGGTGGATTCAGAATAAACTGGGTCAGTATAAATTATGTCAGTTAACCCAAGGAGCTCACCTGTGCCGATTCTGCATAATTTATACTGCTGCTGCTATTCATTGGGTGGGTAAGACTTCTGGAAAACAGTGAAGACAGTAACAGCTGTGTTTTATGCTCAAAGTAAAGCTTATCATCTCACTGTCCCCGTTGAAGGGGGAACTGGATCAATTCAGGCTTAGATTCTAGGAAATGTGCCACTAAAAGAAATAGTTTTCACAGGCAGTCACCAAACTCCCAGTGCAGTCCTGTTGTGTCTACTCGGAAATAAATCCCACCGAGTTCGGTGGGGTTTACTAAGATGTATGTGTACATAGGATTGTAGCTTTAAGGTTCCCAAGATGCTTGGCTGCACATGTAGGGTAAGAGACGTGGCAACTGTAGCAACACAGATCAAAAGGAGAGCCCCGCCAAAGGGAAGATTTGACATCTCAGCATTCTGCTCAGCAATGAAATGTATTTTCATTTTGATTTTATAAGCCCGACAAGTGTTGATCATCTCTCTTCAGGGACAATGTAAGAAACTTGCATAAAATGGTCACCATGGTATCACCATAACCTCAGCAAAATATTTGGCTGTTTATTCCGTTCCATCTTTATTAATGCCAGCCAACAAAAATGAAGCAAAATCCAACTCTTCCTTGCTGCAAAATGCATACCAGCTGCTATGAAAAATTAAACATAACCTACAAGGCGGTGGTGAGAAATGTGTAGCAAGAGTTTCAAAAGCAGGGACAATAATGTAATTTTAAAAATCCTCTTTTCTACAAGAAAGGGTGCTTTCTTGATGGATCCTTAAATCTCAAGATGAGGCATCAATTACTGAGTGTCCCACAGGAACTGTTACTTGGAGACAAATCATAAAGACACTCTTTATAATGTATCTTGGTTGCTGATTGTATGTCTATGCATGTCTGTCTTTAATCCTTTTATTGTTCGTTATATCACGTTCTTGGTTCTATTTATTTTGCAAACCTTAACTTATTCTTATTTCACTCTTTGTTTTAATGGCTGCTTTCTGTCAATGTATGGGAAGGTTTGGCATTTTGTGAATGTACGAGTCACTGATGATTTGTGATAATGCTCCGACCAAACCTTCTCCAACCAATGTTCTCTATATGCTAGCTGGGAATGATGGGAGCTGTAATCCAACACATCTGGAGGATAACAGGTCCTCCAGTCTGGCGTAACTGAAAGCAGTCAGAGCAGTTCTTAGCATCTTGTTCTCAGTGCCCCCCCCCCCCCCGTTATGATTTCTTGAAATTCAAGTGGACATTCAAGATGGAAATTCAAGTTTTCCCAACTGAACATCTTAGCCTATTATATAATTGTGGACTTTTGCATCCCACATCCTGACATGTTGTGTAGAGCTCTTTTAACTTATCTTCTGTGTCTCCTTCAGTCAGTCTCTGGTTGTTAAATTCTAACTTCACGATTGCTAGTGAAAAGGGAAACAGGAATGGCTGCTTTGATTGAGAAATAATTGGTTTTATTATGTTCTCTTAGTGCTTTGGAAAAGAAGATGATTTAAAAAACCCCAAAGCCCACAGACCTGTTCAAGTAACACTACGTTATGCACAATCACTTCCGTGTAACATAAGTCACAAATAAATGTTAATTCCTGAGCAAAACCTGGAGTCCACACCTCTTCTTTTCCTTTTCATTGAGTCCACACCTCTTCTTTCTGTTTCAGGCGGCAACAGAACCTGCTGCTAATCAGCCACTTCACCAGGTGGGAGTTTAGGCCCTTCTCCTTTTTCAGTAGCATTTGAGAATTCATTGCTCTGGCCTGCAGAGTATAAATTCTCAATACCCTTCATAAAGACTGTGATGTTTCGTCAGTGTCACTTTCTGATCCACAGTCTCCCCATCCTCAGAAGACAGAGAGCTTATGAACGTTCGGTGAGTTCTCTGATGTCCAATCAACTGATTTCTCCGACAGAACCCTTTCCCACATTCAGGGCATTTGAATGGCTTCTCCCCAGTGTGGATTCTCTGATGACCACTCAGGTGTGCTCTCTGTCTGAAGCATTTCCCACATTCAGAACATTCATATGGTTTCTCTCCAGTATGAATTCTCTGATGTCTTGTTAACTCTGCTCTGTAAGTAAAGCCTTTCCCACAGACAGAACATTCATGTGGTTTCCTTCCTCTATGAGTGCTCAGAAAAGTCTGTTTGCGTTTGAAGCGGTTCCCATCCTCGGGACATTCATAAGGTTTCTCTTCTGGATGGTTGCTCTGGTATCCGATAAAATCTCTCCGATGGAAAATTCCCCCAAGTTCAGAGAGCACACACTGTTTCTCTCCTGCACAGATTCCCTGAGGCTTAGGAAGGCAACGTTTTGTGTGGGTCTCTTCCCACCGCATGGGATGCTTGAAAGGGCTCTCCCCTGTGTGTGTCACGACAAGATCCGACTTGAAGTGGTATTTTCTCTCGTATTTGGAGAATAAGGACTTTCCCCCTACTGTTGGCACTGTGGAAGAGTTGCCAACAGCACCCGGAGGACCTGCTGCAAGTTCACAGAATTCACTTCCTCTCTCCATTGGCGTCTTCTCCGGTTGCCCTTTGGACTCACATCTCAGTTCATGCATTTTGGACGTCACAGGAAAATTCCACTGGGTTGTTTCTGCTTCCAACCTATGCGTTTCCTCGCCTTGCTGAGATTTCTTGATCTTGATCCAACATCTCTTTTCATCACCTGAAGAGACAGAAAGAGGAATTTTGTCCATGCTTAGGCCACCTTTATTCTAGATTCCTGCAACCTCCTTCCTCCTTGCCTTCTCCACTGCCATCTCCCTTTCTAGCTGATTCACAATCTCCCTACTAAACTCCGCTTCTATCCTCTCTCTCCCTCTCTCCACACATCGCCACTTGCCTCTCTCCTCACTTCCGAGGCCATGGGAATTCTTCACTTAGGTTATGCTCTTGAAGAATGTGTTTCTGCTGCCTGCACAGACCAAAGAGGAAAAACGGGGAAAATGGCCATTTAAGTTGTTTATACAAAGTTTAATCAAGCTAAATCATGGTGGGGCGGGGGGAACCGTGGGGCTCTGAAGACAGGAGCTGCCCCTTTCCAATCTGTCTGTCATGTCTCACATTATGATTTCCTTGTTGAGGGAAACGGGAATAACACCAATCCTAGGAATTATGTTTTGGGAAGCAAAAAGTTTCAGCCCTATGAAAGCTGCAGTTTCCAATACTTTAGTAAACTGACCAAAAAAAAAAAAAAGGATTTATTCCAAGCAGAACTGTACATTTACCAATCAGCAATAAGTCTCGCAATAGGCTTTGAATTTGCTACCAAAGCCAGTCTGCATCTTATCACGATATGAAAATGCTCTTTAGGTCACTTCGCCTAAAATTCTCATGGGTTAGAAGGCAGGAGCAAGTGAGGGGCCGTGTGTCAAATCTAACCCCCCCGAGGAAAGGATTCTGGCCACCCAGTTGCTTCTCAGGATCCTAAAGAGGAGACCAACATGACAGTTATATCACTAATGCTGGATGGCCAACCCCGACTGTCGCACATCTTAAACCTTCTCCTCCTTGAAAATAGTTGCTGGAGGAGGGAACAGAAGCTGCCAATATTGCTCAAAGATGTTTTGAGACTTAAGTTTATTTTTATGACTGAAACTTTTCATAGTTGGGTCTTTTGTAAAGCCCTGTCCCATATGAAGTCTCTGATGTCCAATCCTCTTAAAACAATTACTCTCCAGTATGGATTCTCTGATGACCAATCAAGTGTTCTTTCCGTCTGAAGCATTTCCCACACTGGGAACATTCATATGGTTTCTCTCCAGTATGGATTCTGTGATGCCTCATCAAGTTCTCTCTCCAGTTGAAGCTTTTACCACACTCGGGGCATTTGTAGGGTTTCTCTCCAGTGTGTATTCTCTGATGTCTTGTTAGTTCTGCTCTAGAAGTGAAGCTTCTCCCACAAAGAGAGCATACATACAGATCCCTTCTTGAATTCATGTTCTGGTATTTCCGCAAAGCCTGTTGGAGCCTGAAGCTTTTCCCATCTTCGGGGCGCTTTTGTTTGCGGCTATTCTGGTGCTGGGTGAAGTCACCTCTCTGCTGGAATTGTTCTCCACACTCGGACAGCAGACACTGTTCCTCTGCTGTGAGGATTCCCTGAGGTTCGTGTTGGCCACATTTTGCCTGGATCCCTTCCTGCCATGAGGAGCTTCCAAAAGGATTCTCTCCAATCTGTGTCACAATAAGGCCAGACATGTAACGGTGTTTTCCTTCATACTTGGAGAACAGAGGCTTCCCCCACTCTGTTGGCACTTCAGAGCTTTCACCAACGGCATCTCTGGGCCCTCCTGCAGGTTCACGGCATTGTCTCCCTCTGCCTACCGGCTTCTTCACCCGCCGCCCTTTTTCAGACGTCACAGGAAATTTCCACTGGAAGGTTCCTGCTCCAACCCTGAGTGTCTCCTCTGGCACAGCCTCTCCTTGGTGAGAGTTCTCCATCTCCATCCAACATCTCTCTTCATCACCTGAAGAGACAGAAAGAGGGATTTTGTCCATGTTCTGGTCACCTCTTTTCTAGACTCCTGTAACCTCCTTCCTCCTGGTCTCTACTGCCATATCTGCCTTTCAGACTGATTCAGAATCTCTATTAAACTCAGCTTCTCTGTCTGTGAAAACATGACCCCTCTCCTTTCATCCAGGCTGTGTGTCTTCTTCACTGAACCCAGGTCCTGCTCCTGAATAACACATTTATTACCACTTACACACACGTAAAGTAAAACATGGCTAGTTAGGTTTATTTATACAGAGTCTGCTTCAGCTAAGCGCAGAGTAGTGATTTGGAGTGAGAACAGACCCACCCCTTCCGTTCTATTGGTTATGTCTCACAGCAAGCATCACTGTAGATGGGGAACAGGGGCAATTCAAGTGCTGGTTATTGCGCTTTAGGAGGCGAACCATCCAACACGCACCCAAAATTTTAGTCCCCGGCATTCCTTGAGCAAAAACAACGCTGAAAGCCGTGGCTTAATTCCAAGCTGATACGCATACTTGCAAGTCCCATGACAGCCAAGTCCCACTCAGAATATGCTTGGGCCTTCAGCCACAGCAAGTTTACCTTTTATGGCTTATCTAAAAATGATTCCTGAACCTTTTTGTGTAGAACTTAGCAATCTCTGGAAATATAAAGCAGTCAGTGGCTCAAGGCAGCCTGGTGCAAATCCAGCTGAAGCAGTTGCGAAGAAAGTGACGTCTGATAACACACTGTACGAATCAGGATTCGGCCTTGACTTACCATTCCTCACTCGCTGCTTCAAAGAGGCCCCACCCAAAAATAGTTGGAGGCCACAGGAATTATGTCAGTGTTGTTCACGCACGGTCTAATGCTTGAGGCCATTTTTCTGACTGAAAACTATTCCTTACTTGAGCCTTTCAGAAGATCTTTGTCCTCTGTGAGTTCTCTGATGCCTGATTAGTGTATCTCTTCGAGAAAAACCTCTCTCACATTCATGGCATTTCAACGGATACTCTCTGGTGTGGATTCTCTGATGTGCAATCAAGTGCTCTTTCCGTCCAAAACATTTCCCGCACTGGGAACATTTGTATGGTTTCTCTCCAGTGTGGATTCTCTGATGTTTTTTCAGATCTCCTCTCTGAGTGAAGCATTTCTCACACTGAGAACATTCGTATGGCTTCTCTCCAGTATGGATTCTCTGATGTCTCATCAGGTTTTCTCTCCGACTGAAGTGTTTCCCACACTCAGGACATTCATATGGTTTTTGTCCAGTATGAATTTTCTGATGCCTTGTTAATTCTCCTTTTGAAGTAAAACGTTTTGCACAAGTAGAACATTCGTGTGACTTCCTTCCTGCATGATTGTTCTGATATTTTTGCAATGCCTGTTCATGCCTGAAGCTTTTCTCATCTTTTAGATATTCAAAAGATTTCTCTTCTGGGTGGCTGATTTGGTGCCCCATGATATAGTCTTTCTGATGGAAACTTTCCCCATGTTTGGAGACCACATGTTGTTTCTCTCCAGTAAGGATTCCCTGAGTTTCATGAAAATAACTTTTTGCCTGGATGTCTTCCACCCATGAGGAACATTCAGAGGGTTTCTCCCCACTGTGAATCACAACATCTGACTTGTAGCTGTATTTTCTCCCATACTTGGAGAACAAGGGCTTTCCCCCCTCCACTTGTACTGAAGACGTTTTGCTAACACCACCTACAAAATCTTCTGCAAATTCTTTGCATTCTCTCGCTCTTCCTACTGGCTTTTCCTTCTGCTGCCATTTGGACTCACATCTCAGTTCATGAATTTCAGATGCCACAGGAAAATTCCGCTGGATTGTTTCAGCTCCCACCCTGTTTGTTTCCTCGGGCACAGCCTCTCCTTGCTGAGATGTCTCCATCTTGATCCAACATCTCTTTTCATCACCTGAAGAGACAGAAAGAGCATTTTTGTTTTCTGGACTCCTACAACTCCTTCTTCCTGGCTTTTTCTCCTGATTTTTCTCCTTTTCCCTACTTGGTGATTCAGGAGTCTCTGCTAGGCTCAACTTTCCCTCTCTCTCAAAACATCAACTCTCTCCTTACATCCAGGGCTGTGTTTACGCTTAGCTGTTGGGAGTAAGAAAGGTGGATGCTTTGAGGATCTGCGCTCAAGGACTGCTGGCTGGACTTGAGAGGATTCAGAATCAGAATAGGAAAGAAAACTGAAAGGGGAGTGGGCATGGGGGCCAGGCCAAGACTCTGGGATGAGAGAAGCGGAGGTGCTCATCTCAAGGCCAGACTCCCAGGTGGGTGGGCAGGCAGCCTCTGGGAATAACCAAGATGTGGAGTTGGCAGGAGGGGACTTAAAGTAGGGGATTTTCTCAGACACAGAGGCAGCAGCCTCAGCTCTTGACCCCATGATGTGGCATCTGCAGAGGAGGGTGGCCCAATTAAAGGACTGATGCGCAGGGAGAAGCTGTGTTCATTTTCAGGTCCTTCCTGAAGGAATGGGGCCCAGGCATGCTCATAAGGAGGGTTCCTGGAGGTGAATACTTGATTGGGTTGAACAAACTGCTCTGTGCATGCTCTGAGATTTATTCTGGGTGTTTTGTACTTTTGATCAATAAAGGATGCTTTGCAAGGGAAATTGTCTGTGGCTTTTGAATGTGCAAAGCAGAAACCCTGGTTCACAGCATCACCTGATATTCTCATTCTGGAAAAGATTGTTTTTGGATTTAATAAATGACTATGTATTTATATATTTATCCCACCATTTGGCCTTCAAGGTGGCTTACATAACCCTCCCTTCCATATTATCCTCACAACAACCCTGTGAGGTAGGCTAGTTGAATGTGTGTGACTGGCCCAAAGCCACTCGGTGAGCTTCATGGCCACGTGAGGACTAGAACCTGGATCTCCTACGCCCCGATCAACATTTGACGGCTACCCTACATTGCCTAGTGTGGCACAGCAATTAATGAAAACGAGAGGGAAAGATGGCCATTAACTGAGGTACAGTCTACCTCAGCTAAATCCACGAGGGGAAGCCTGTTTGTAGAACTGTACACCAGCCCTGCCCCTCTCCTGTCATGTCTCTACCTGCTGTGTCCCACATCACGGTTTCTCCACTGAAGTGGAATTTTGCTAGAGTTCTACACCTCGATTTCCACACCTCCCAGGACCGCAGTCCCCAAGATTAGTCAAGGAGATCCAGTGGCACAGATAATTATTTAATTCCAAGCAGATCTGCAAGTCCCATGACAGCCAGTGAGTGCCACACCCAACTACCTATGCATGGATTTGCACCAAAGCGAGTGTATTTCTTACTCACAAAATGAACATGTTTCTAAAGCATTTTGCATAGTATTCTCAAGAAAGAAGAGAGGTGAGCAAGTGACAGGCCCACGTCAAATCCACAGGAATACATTCCTCTGAGGAACGCCATCCAGTTGTTCCTAGGATCCTAAATGGGTGTCCAAAATGGGTGTGGATGAACCAGTTCTCCCTGACTTCTTAAATGTTCTCCCCCTTAAAAGAAATAGTTCTGCCAAGGGAACAAAAATTGTCAAGATTGCTCATGGACATTTGGGTATTTAGTTTATTTTTTCTGACTCAAACTATTCCCATTCTCTGATGTTCAATCCTCTTTAAGTGATTACGCTCTGGTATGGGATCTCTGATGACCAATCAATTGCTCTTTCCGGCTGTAGCTTTTCCCACACTGGGGACATTCATATGGTTTCTCTCCAGTATGGATTCTGTGATGCCTCATCAAATTCTCTCTCCGGTTGAAGCTTTTCCCACACTCGGGGCATTTGTAGGGTTTCTCTCCAGTGTGTATTCTCTGATGTCTTGTTAGTTCTGCTCTAGAAGTGAAGCTTTTTCTACACAGAGAACATACATACAGATCCCTTCTTGAATTAATAGTCTGATATTTCTGCAAAGTTTGCCTGTGTCTGGAGTTTCTCCCCTGCATGGGGCATTCGTAAGGTTTTTCTTCTGTGCAGTTATTCTGGTGAGAGATGGTATTGTTTCTCTGGTGGAGACTTTCTCCACGCTCAGAAATTATGTATCCCGTAAGGATTCCCTGAGGTTTTTGAAGGCAGTGTTTTGTCTGGTTCTCTTCTCTCCATGTGGGACACTCAAAGGGGTTCTCTCCTGTGTGCGTCACAACAAGATCAGACTTGTAAGTGTATTTTCTCCCATACTTGGAAAACAAGGGCTTTCCCCGCTCCGCTGATATGTCAAAGGAATTGCCAACGGCACCTGTTTGACCTTCTGCAAGTTCACAGAATTCTCTCCCTGTCTCCATTGGCGTCTTCTCTTGTTGCCCTTTGGACTCACATCTCAGTTCATACATTTCAGATGTCACAGGGAAATTCCACTGGATTGTTTCTACTACCACCCTGCGTGTTTCCTCGGGCACAGCCTCTCCTTGCTGAGATTTTTCCATCTTGATCCAACATCTCTTTTCATCACCTGAAGAGACAGAAAGAGGATTTTTGTCCATGGTCTTGCCAATGTTTTACAGACTCTCGCAACCTCCTTCCTCTTGGGCTTCTCCACTGCCCTATCTCCCTTTCCGGCTGAATGTCTCATTGCTTCCCTCTTTATCCACACACTGTCCTTCTCCTTACATCCAGATCTGAGTTCATTCTTCAGTTGAATCCTGGGAAATCTGATGTTTGCTTCCTTCTGCCTGAAGCAAACGATCTCAGCACCTGTGGTCCCAGGAATTATTTCCAGGGTGCTGTGAAGGTAGCCAGGTCCTGGCTACCTGAACGAGCGCTTACGTCCGTATATGCCCGACCGCCCCTTGAAATCTGCGGGAGAGTCCCTTCTCCGGGAACCCTCCATGAAAGAAATTAGGAGAGTAAGTACTTGGAGGAGGGCTTTCTCTGCGGTGGCGCCCAACCTATGGAATTCACTCCCCAAAGAGGTCCGCCTGGC